CACGTACTGCAGAAGGAGCGGCAGTCTTCCTCCGACCATCTCCACCGAGGACTGATATAAATGTGGTCCATCTATGTCCGTCGCTGAAATGAGGTCGGTGCATGCCAATTCAGACAGTGTCTTTCTTTGTCTGAATTTGTGCTAGCCAGAAATAAAAGGTTATCTGAGCACAGTTGCAGTAGATGATCCCCATTGTTTTTTTGTTCAGCCAAGATTCTGAAAGTGCCTTTCTGCATGACAGCCTACTTCTGCATTGAAATCACCTGCGACAAAAACATCTAAACGTTTGGCTTTCAGAAGCAGGCTAGACAGTTTTCGACACAGCTCATACTTCACTTCATCCAAACTGCAGTCAGAGTGCGTAAGCAGCGATTACACAGATACAATGGTGAGTTTCACTACTCCTTTAGGTTCCCAATGCGCTATCCAGCGGGACAGTGCATTGAAACCTGTCAACTAGGATCCGATCTAGTAGTGAGCTTTCTGCCCTAGTGCTTAATGCTACACCTACACCTGCAAGACCGTGAAAACTTGTCATCGAATCTCGAGAAACTCGAAAGGTGAATTTCGAGGACTCACCATATTGACCGGGAGAGGGTCTTCTGTCAGTGTCCCACAAACATACTACACTTTCATGGCTCGAGTTGCTACAGGTTAAAGCCAATGAAACAAGTTGGCCAATTCGACGGAGGGTACGGATATTGAAGGCTCCAATGTGTCATTTGGAGCGTGGTTTAAAGATGTTGTTCTGTGGACTCAGATAGTTGTCGAAAGCTGCGGAGCTAGAAGAAAGAATTGTTATCTGAGAGACGTGAGGGGAGATTAGAAGGTAAATATGAGAGATGGACAGTGGTCTGAAGGAACTTCAGCGCTGAAAGAAATGTGAAGGTGGTTGACACTTCCCGGCTGCCCACACCACGGAAGGTTACTTCCTCTTCAGTTGCTTGAAAAAGAGAAGTTCGTGCGTGACTATAGAGCCCAGGGAACATCTGGTAGAGGCCGGTCACGTACGGCTTTTTTTGATGCCATGACAATTTGCCTGTATTATAGAAGGTGTAGTCGGACATGCGTCCTGTCACTCTGGATCGCCTCTAAGCACTGATGATTGATCTAAGCCATCATACTGCATCATTTATTTCCTCATGAAACATGTTAGGGGCAAGGGTAACTGCATTCGTACAACCGCTATCCAACAGACTTTTCAGAAATGGCAGAACAAGCGTTCCACCAGCATAGTTCGTTGCCTCGTTATAATATACAAACACGACTACCACGTCACGGTACCAGCTATCGGTCGGCTACCAGTCAATGAAGCCTCTGAATGTTGGTCTTGGACATAAGAAGAGATGTAGACTGCCTGACTGGGGTGCCTGAGACGAAAGGAATCATTGAATGAGGACACTTAGTGACATGGCTGAAATCCATCACAATGGCGCAAATGTATTCACTCCTTGACATCTTCTAAAGCTTGAATATTTGCACTAACCATTACCTTCAAATTGTTTATTCTCTCACACAACTTTTTCAACTTTGATATTACTCTTTTTCCATCCACCTGTTGTTTGTATGCTACTGTGAAGTGTGGTAGCTTGATTCCATGCACCTGTGTGAGGTTCTTCGTTGATTGTGTCTGTCTAGTAGCCCAGTTGAATTCATTGCTATCCTCAAATAACAGGCGCATTAAGCAGTGAACTGTAACTACTAAAAGAGGATTGATGAAACCCAAACCTCAGTAGAAAGAGCACAATAAGAATCCATGACATACCGGTTGAAAGTCAACCGTCTAGACCAACTGACCCACAGTTCTTTGCTAACCAAGGCATAGTTTCACATAGCTTGAGAAGACACCGTCAAACTCGCAAGGATCAACACATGCTGCCAAATATTTAGCAATGTAAGTTAAAACAATGGATTTATTCAGTCAATAAAATCTTTTGCAATAGGTACGATGAACGTGATAGAAGTATAAACCAATAAGCAACTGAAAAAGACGGAGACAATAATCCATTCTAGAACTAACGAAATCAAAAACTCAACTGGATGGAACATATTCATAGTCGGATAATACGCTCTAAAACTAAAAATGTCACATGAAGTTGGCACCGAAGACTGTTTGAACAATCGGTATATATTTAAATCTCATGACCTACTGCACCGTCAATTACTGGTTATTACCTATTTCGTTCACAATGATATGATTCATTTGTAATCTATTCAATTTTCATCAATAAGTTTGAATATCCCCTCTCAAAACTTCGCATATTTCCCATTCAAGCTGCAAAGATCGTTCATTATTTATACTATAACCGTGCTGCCAATCAGTGGTGTCCTGCGAGTCACTTGACATAACCCAAGTTATATATATATATATATATATATATATATATATATATATATATATATATATATATATATATATATATATATATATATATATATATATATATATATATATATATATATCAGAGTGTAAAGACTTGAACAACAACCTACAGATTCAACCCACGATGGTCACTCAAATCCTTGGTAAATGAAAATGGCGGTAAGAAAACAAAAGATAAATTACAACGTCAAGGTATATACGAAATACAACGGCAAACACACATTTGCAACGACCTTGACTACTTCTAGATTAGTATATCCTATAGATTTTTGCCTGATCAGCCAATCTGGTGTTACCAGGTTGGTCCACGGGACTTCTCTCAAGACTTCGAAGCAAAATGATTAATTGTTAAAGGCTACATGGATTTATGACTTCTTATGAAGATCTGGGAAACGTCATTGTACATTAAAATAATTTCCATGTCGGTATACCTCGATAAATGTCGTAGTTTGCGTTGTAGGTAAGAGACCTAACAACATTAAATCAAATAACGAAGTAAGTATCTGGAAGAGATCAATGCAGATGAAACCAATGAAGGATAGTGAAGGAGACCTAGTCATCATAGAGGAGAAACAAAGGAAACGATGGGCTGACCACTTCAGAAAACTCTCCAATCGACCACCACCAACACCACCTGCAACTCGTCCAGAAATACCACCAGCAGCCCAGATACAGAACTATCAGTGAGCACAAACCCTCCGAGAAAAGCAGAAGTGAAGTCCTGAACGCCAGAAAGTTGCTGAACTCCGGGAAGGCAGTAGGACCAGATGGAATCCCGCCAGAAACACTGGAAACGGATGCACAGACATCAGCGGACATGCTCACACCACTATTGTAGAACGTTTGAAAGGAGAGGTATGTGGCGATTTATTGGAAGAAGGGCTACCTTGTCAAACTCCAGAAGAATGGAGACATAAGTCCTTGTAAGAACTGGCGAGGAGTCATACTCCACCACTGTCCACCCAAAACAAGCAAAATATTAGGCCGCATCATCCTGGAGAGACTAAAGCATGCACTAGATTCACAACTACAACCGAAACAGGCTGGGTGGCTGGATTCAAGAAGAACAAATCATATGCGGACGAAATTGCAACGCTACGATACGCATCATCATAGGACAGAGCGCAGAATGCCAGTCAACTCAAATCTACCTCAACTTCATCGACTTCGAAAAGGCCTTGGATCGAGGCGTCGACCGAGAAGTAATTTGGCAGGCAGCTGCTTCAATACTATGGTTTTAGTGCCACAAAATTGCATCAGCCCCATTCAGCAGCTTTATGAAAACGCCACATGCAGAGCAATTCACAATGGAAAGCTTAGTCATGCCTTTGAAGTGAAGAGAGGAGTAAGACAAGGCTGCCGCCTACTATCACCCATGATCTTCCTGATTGTGGTCGACTGGACTGGACTGGACTGGAATGGTTCATGCAACAAACAGTGAGGAGCGAGAAGAGGGACACACTCTGGCTGGACCGATGAAAATACTTCACAAGAAGATTTGGATTTCGCCAACGATGATGATTTATGTCTATTGTCTTGTCGCACAAACTCGAAGATCTACAGGCGGAAAATAGCAAGTTGACAGAAGAGGCAGGGCAGTGAAGACGGGACTTTCTTCAGGTGAGCGTAGAGAAGACAGAGGTGATGTAGATACCCAACCAACAACAACAAGCACCATAGATGGAAGTAGTCTCTTTCATGTACCTTCACAGGTAGCATCGTTTCAGCTACAGGTGGCAGCATAGATGAGAACGTTAAAGTCAGGATCAGAAAAGCAAGACGGGTCTTCATTAATCTGAAACCAGTGTAGAGGTCTACTGCACTCAGCATAAAGCATGAACAAGATCCGGAATTTCAACACTAATGTCATGTCAGTGCTTCTATATGGTTGAGAGACTTGGCGCGTTACGAAAAGCATTTCCAACAAACTGAAGATATACATCATCAATAGCTGCTGTCTACGCTCGATACTGACACTGAAGATCAAATGACCAAAAAGAATAAGCAACAAGGAACTCTGAGAACGAATAAGATCCTATCTCCCAACAAATATGCAGAAGTGGAGATGGATTGGACTAGATATACACTGTTAAGACCTATTGGGGACATCACGTGCCAGTCCAGGCCGTCGAGTGGAATCCAAATAAAAAAAAACGATGAGATGGTGTGGGGGAAGAAATGAAAGCTTCTGGGTAGTCGTAGAGCCAGGTTGAAAAGACTGGAGGAAAGAGAGTGAAATGGCGACGTGCTACTAAAGGCCCTATGTTCCACTAGGAACCAAAGGGACATATAATAATAACTGTGTTGTGTATCCGTGTACTAGTGCATTGTTTCATGGTATACTTGAATTGGGTATGGGACAACTCAGTTAACCATGGCTGCCAAAATTTATGATATCCCACATTTTAAACATTGGCTCCTTTTTTAAAATGTTTATTTCTCTCCATTTGAAAGATTGTGAGTGTTAAAATCACTTTTTTTTTAATTATCTATGCGAATTGTTTATACATACAACTACAAGGGGATCCAACTTTTTATTGATTAACTTCCTACTTTAGTGTCTACTTCACACTGCATTGTAACTAATAATAAGAAAGATAAAGAAGTTTACTAATTTCGGAGCTGGAATTTATATTTTTCTCTGTTGTGTTACAGCAAAAAACCGTATAAGCGTGAAATCATGAAAAAAAATCACCTATCCCTTCATGAACTACTCCATATGGAGAAAAAAACAACACAATCTCTCAATTCTCCGAAAACATAAACAAAATGTAGCAAGAAAGATGTGAAAAAGAAAAAGAGAAAGAAAGACCGATGAATGGGAAAATCACTAGTATTAACATAATTATTATAATATTCCATAAATATTGTCATTAGTAGATATTATGATGCCATAGCAATTGATAACTTAAAAAAACAACACAAACAAACATAGTAAAAGTGAGAGAAATTCAAGTATGCATACATTTATGAACGGGGATAAAGTCTTCTTTCTTCCAGTAAGCAGAATGAACGAATGGATGAATAGATGAAGACAATGATTAGTATAGACAAAAGTAAGAGAAACTCACTCACCTAGTTCAAACCAAAGAGACAAAAACAAACATGTTTCATATGATCTCTGTGCACCTTAAATATTAACTTTTTGGAAAAGAATATTTCTGTTGAAAAGCTAGGAATTCTTTCGACTACGATTGTATCCTGTGTCGAACTTGAGATCACGTCGCATAAGTGATTGGTCAGCAATTGCCATCGACTTGGAATCACCACTACCAGCAGACCAATCAACTGACGCCCAGTCACGATCACCACTTAAATCCCATCCACTATCTTCACCAGAGGTCCATTTTGTACTCTGCAGGGATGCTCCTAAATGAATCATACGCAATACATAAATTGAAGAACAGCATCAAGAAAATAATTATAGTTCTTAAAAAAAATCAAATAACGTGTATTAAAAAATTAAAGACTATAATATTAACAAGCTCATGTATTCCATAGGAAAATTAGATGCGGATGACACGAAATTCTGCAAACAGGTTATTAGTTTGTGTTTGACTATGCAGTCAAGATCACAGAAATGTCTACCTCCTAACTAATAGAACGCTATTCCACCTATTTTGACGTGCACAGTCGAATAGTAAGCTCGCATACAACAGACGCGGCGGCCTATGGCTTGAAGCATGTCGGGTTAATTATTAACTACACTCTTAAATGGGTCCATGTGCTAACCGAAATTGATAGTTGGAGATTCTGAGTGATCATCACAGCAATATAGTGTAGTACGATCCATTGCACCAAGCTGTGGATAACACATATTGTGAAAGAGAGTATCATACTATCTGATTACCCAGACAAAAGAAAGTGGAGAGCCATGTGAACACAGGAACTGTTGGTCTAAAATCAATTACATAGGCAGATAGCCGTTGGATAATTTGATCGGATTCACTAAAATACATTCACGCCTAAGCTTCAACATAACTCCATTATTTAATATATAACTTCCTATTTGCTTTAAAGATTCGCTACTATTTTTCACTACATTGCTTCCATTAACATGTCATCTCTTTTCTTAACCTCTGTCACAATATACGGACCAATTCATTCACTTAGGGAGTTGCATCAGCCCACCAAACTGGCTGATTTCTGACAGAATCTCATCCTGAAATGGTGCGTAATATTTGTAGCCTAGATGGATGAACTTAATTGTATTGTGTTCTCTGAGTTCATAGAACACAAAATAATCTAAATCTCATCTCAGATACAGAAGGCCCGTTTGACATTTGCCAACTTCCATCATCCATGGCACCGACTGGCGAGATATTTAACTATCCATCAGCGGACGAGTATACTACACTACAGTCCGTTCTGTCCTGTTATACAGCTGTGAGACATGCCCGTTAAAAGAAGAAGATATGAAGCGATCACAGAGTTTTGGTCACATATTTCTTCGTAGCATTGTTCACGTTTGGTGGAATCACTGTGTGAGCAATGTTGAGGTCAGGTGAACGGTACTAGGCAAGACAGGCAAGTCGATTGATGAGGTTGTGAATCTTAGTTGGCTGAGATGGCTTGGTCATGTACTGCGCATGATGAGCCACCCCCTACCTCGACATGATAGGCTAGGGGGAGGTGCATTAAGTTTGAAGAGGGTTATGGGTGACTAGACCAAAACGTGGCACCAGTTGGTCAAGTCTCTTACTGTTGGTTTGAGTTGCATTGGGAGATGTAGACTGCCTGACTGGGGTGCCTGAGACGAAAGGAATCATTGAATGAGGACACTTAGTGACATGGCTGAAATCCATCACAATGGCGCAAATGTATTCACTCCTTGACATCTTCTAAAGCTTGAATATTTGCACTAACCATTACCTTCAAATTGTTTATTCTTTCACACAACTTTTTCAACTTTGATATCACTCTTTTTCCATCCACCTGTTGTTTGTATGCTACTGTGAAGTGTGGTAGCTTGATTCCATGCATCTGTGTGTGGGGTTCTACTTTGAGTTTGTAATCAGTTATTTACCTGAAAAATAGCTCAATATTTAGAAAGGCGAATCCGGAGGCATTTTCAGAGAATTTCCACGTGAAACGCAGACAAGATTTTGAATAAAGTTCATAGAAAACACCCTGGAAAGTGGTTACAATTAGTTGCTGTTCCCGTTCAAAACTTCATCCAAAAGAGAATGGTGTCTCACGACCAATCAAAAGAGGATCGATCATTTTACCTTATACTACATCAGCTGCCGCGAAGTTGTGATCAGGTTTAATCATTGCAATTACCTATCTAAACTATATTTGTTATTGCTTGAATTGCCGAAAAGTCAGGAAGAACGACTGAAGAATAATGATAGGACCAGAGGCAGCTTACGATTGGAAAATTATGATGGCGAAATCATACTGTTAATTATGCTAAAATGTGTCATCAGTAAATTGTGTCCGACAACAACCAACATGATAATCTGATAGTGTCTTCCCTAGTGAAAAAAGAGATTATAAATAAAAGAGCTGCTTTGGGAATATTAGCCACTTTGTCTAATGAACCTTCACCGTAGGAAGCAAGCAAATTTCAAGTTCGGGTTCGATACAGTGAAATCAGAAACTTCAGAAAACGCTGTCATCAACCTCTAGACAATAAAGACGTTAGTTTAAATACTCAGTGTCACAGGTAATTAAGATGAAAACAGAGAAAAACTCTACGCGATCAGGTATCCTATTACAGGCTGCTTAAACAAAGCTTTCGATACAACCGTAATCCACTGTTTATTGTATGACATTTATTAAACAAACTACTAACTCTTTTGCGAAGAGCCATTCTTTTTTCTACATTCTCAAGCTCAACAATCACATATGAATAGTGCGTCTACTCAGCAACAGAAAATGAATGATTCACGAGGTGTAAATGACTTGAACAGCTGAATGGTAACGCTTCTAACTGAGAAACTGTGCGACACGGATTTTATTCTCTCAAGGGGGTACCAGTTCTCTCGAGGTTGCACATGTGCGTGCGAATGACATCATGAAAAAGAATGACCCTTCGCAAAACGCCTTTTGTTTTATAATTTAGTGGGGATATTCAAAACCACATTTTCGTGAAGCTGTAATAACAGCAACATCTAAAATGATGTGTAATAATAAAACAGTCTGTCTTCAGAAAATCACTAAAACAATGAAAGCAATTTCATGAGTGAGCGACCATAAATAATCGACTTTAATTTACCTGCATCAAATGAACTAGTTCCTTGTTGTAGATTTGAGTTGAAGAACATTGAATTTGGGCGATCTTGTTCATGGGTACTACAATGGACGGATAAAATCACACAAAAAGATGTAAACTTATCAACACCTAACACACAATCACAACAAGTAGTTAAGGAAAAATCATTACATGTTATAAAATGGTCAGGAAAAGACTTTGAGTCAATGCATAGTCTTTGGTTCTTGATCTGGGCCGTATAGGCTGGAATCACCGAAAGAAGTGAAATCAGTAACTGCAGATGATTCTCATTGACATGGCTTTAAATCGGTCCAAACGGTGTCATATATTAGCAATCTTTATGAACTTTACAACTTTGACCATCTTTTATTAACTTTATTCTTCTCGGATAGATATTTTTCAACCTTCGTATCCAATTTTTCTACGGCGTTGCTATAAAGTCTATCAACTTCAAGTCACACACTTGTATGCAAGGTTCAGCGTTGATTTGTTAGTCTAATTTTACCATATATTATTCAAAGATTGATTTACTAGTTCTATTCTAAATCAGAACCATGCATTATACGAATGCAAAACATGTACATTTTGGCATTATTCACACCAATCCGCAGGTTATATAATTCAGACCAGCGTGACCCGACCAATAAATAACTAATTGCTCCAACTTCCGATGTAACCGTTTCTGTACCAAGCTAGAAAAGTTCAGCTTCGATAGCTGTTAAGGTCAGCCGGGTGGTGGTGTTGGGAAACACCGCCAAGTCCAGAAATTCACTCTATAAAAATGAATCAATAATACATACACATTTTCGCTTAATTGTAATCGCTTATAGTTTATAATAGGTATATTCACTTTACTCTTCTTTCTGAGTATCTTGAATCGTTAGTGGCTGCGTCGGGAATCTAAACGAGCATACAGTAACAGACTTTGTACTACAATTCATTATTCGACCCCACAGTGCTACTCTACTATCGGATTATATTAACTGGGAAAGTGAAATGGTGATTAAATAAACTGGGCAGTCGTTTACTAGCCATAATATTGCAAGATCAAATCCACCTAGCTTGTTTATTTGTTTGAATTGCTGTCCAATGCTCATTAGTGTCTTGTTTCGAGATAAGGTCCCCAAAATTCGAATGAGAAGCAAACGAAGTTGGATGTGAAGACAGTTATTCAGCGACGGCATTGCATGAAGGTCGCGCTACATCGCGAAGTGATAGAAGTAAGAAAATGTGGACCACTGGACTCCACAATGGCTCAGTGGTAAAGTGCTGGCTGCGGGTATAGGTGGAGCATCATTCTTAATACATGTGTTGGGTGTTGTTAATTCGATGAACAAAGATTCAGTAATCAATCTCTCTCTCCACCTAATTACACTGTACAGTGGTTTTATCCCGCCCAATCTATTGTGTGGTTGTGTTAATGCAAGCATGGCAATAACCAAGTTTTTTTCTAGATTATTCATCCTCTTGGGGTCTATCATTCTACATTTGGCTGGATTTCCGCTGATCGGTTAATTTGACCTATGCATTTGACTTCATAGTCATTACATGGAATTCGGTAGATCTACAGGGGTCAGTTAAACTATGAGAACATAGGAGTTTAGCTAAATATAGAACGACGAACCCCAATAAGATTGATATGACATGAGCAATAATTTATGCTTGAAACTTCATCAAGTAAATAATACTGTATCATGGTGTTATATATATATATATGTCAAATAAACAAATGTAATGTTGGATTACATTCTACCAGTGCCAAGTTTTATACCTACATTAATTTGCCCCAAATGTATAATTCGAAGCACGGAACATGATTTACCTCTTACAAACACAGTCAACACTTTTTGAGAAAAAAAGTAAAAAGTACATTTACTGATACAACTAATGTTACCTGAAACGAGTAGAACCATAGGATTTATCAGAATTTCCAGTTGACAAATCCGACTGAGGATTACTGGCCCAATATGACTCGATACTTCGGATTCCTTGAGTTTTCACAGTCTGCAACTACACAATTTAACCAAAAACGTTAACTAATAAATATGATGAAAACCAAGTCTGGTGCAAATCTGAATCTTATTTCATCGCAGTCACCGAAAATCGCTGCAAAACTACACCTGAGTCAAATGCGAGTTTTTGCCCCAGGATTGGTCTTCAACGGTCCCACGGCTAACAATACAGAGTGTAGAGGTTGAGTGTGTCGACCACTTCACTTACCTGGAAAGTAGGATCAACCCTCGTGGCTGGCTCAGTGGCCGATGAAATCTCTGCACGGATACAAAAGGCTCGATTGGCTTTTACCAACTTACGCCACCTGTGGCGCCACCATGTTATCCGTTTGTCTAGTAAGGGTCGCATGTACTACACAGCAGTCCGGTCTGTTCTGCTGTATGGCTGTGAAACATGGCCATTGAAGTGGAAGATATAAGAAGGCTTCAGGTGTTTGACCACCATTGCCTTCGATGTATAGGCCCCCGTATTCCGTGATGTCACCACGTGAGTGATGCAGAAGTCAGGAGTAGAGTTCTAGGGAGTAGATCAGTTGACGAGGTTATGAACCTTCATCGATGGGGATGGTTGGGACACGTACTACGTATGCTCAGTCACCGATTGCCTCCTCACACAATGTTGGCTGAAGTAGGTTTAGGCTGGAAAAAGGCTCGAGGTGGCCAGAGCAAAACATGGCACCAATGAATGAAGTCTCTGACTGTTGGTTTCAGCCATGTGGGGCGATGTAGACTAGCCGGTTGGGGTCCGCGGGACTAGAGGAACAAGTGGTTGGAGACTCTAGGTGATGGCATGGCTGAGAACCAATGTCAGTGGCGCAGATGTATACACATACACATTATCCTCATCTTAACGACGCTATACTGATTCTCAACATTTTCTCCTTCTTCCTTTCTCTCTTTTCGTACTTTATATTTCTTTGACTGGATTTCCTTATCTTCAGCGTGCACCTCACTGCCTTTTTACTTGATGTACTGATATGAGGTGTGGCAACTTGGACTGCTACACACAGTAATGCCTGGTCCTATTTTGATGTTGATAAGTAAAAAAAAACATGAAACAGGATTTTTTTTATGGTATATTTATCGAAAAACTTCGACTAGTACCTGAAACTTCGGTTATCATTCAGTGACTGTTACTTTGTGATACCAACAATAACCCTCCTTATAATTTCCTCAGTATCATACCCTACGGTCATTTTCAACCACTTAAGCCAGCGGAACGCTATTCCTATTCTCCTAAATAATCTAAACTCTATAACAAGCCAGACAACATGTCCCATTTGCCGAAACTGTATTTTCGGGCTATGCATGTACGCTGTTTCCGAGACAAGCATACAGGACCTAAGTATGAATATTCACTTGACCTCACCTGGTCAATGCAGCGAATCTGCAAAATTCACTTGACAAGTGTCTGTAGACTACATGGCTAGCTATCCTGAACTTGCTAGTGTAAGTATAGCATCAACTTGGACAGTAAAAAGCATACTTCACTACTGGATACTAGTCAACACCAATTCGTGATCTGTTCTACCTAATGAATCTGTAAGAACAATCGTAACACTCTTCGATAACTATTTGTAATCTTCACCTATGCACCCACCCATTGCAGCTATCGATTTCATTACAAGAAGCAATACGTCCAGATATAGAATACTTCAACGCTCAAGTAGTAGAGCTGACCGATCATAAAGATATCTTATGGTCATCAGGGAAGAATATACACGATTGCTTATTAGAGTAAACAACATACTACTAAGTGCATGGGAATCAGCCGTTGTTCCTCTGAGACCGATCTGCACGACCGATCATTTCAGTTTATGAGAAAGGAGAGGGAGTCTTGGTGCAACAACCACAGGGGGGTATGTTTTAAATAAAGTTGCAACTTAAAACCACACAGTTCTTAGTCTTCCAAAACTTAACTATAGTTGGAGAACAAAGTTGAAAAAACAAGCTTACTTCACATTTGGACAAAAGTGCATCGATCACATCTTCATTCTTCGACAGGTTTCGGAACACAATCATGTATACCGATGCCTCATAATTGCCACATTTCTTGATATGAAGACGGCACTCGACCCAGCTGACCGAAAGGTGTTGTGGCAATGTCTGACTTCAAAAGAATTACCGAGCAGGCATGCAGTGCTAACCACAGCCTTCTACGTGAAATCACGCGGCCGTAGTGTGAAAGCTCATGGGTAGACTAGTGGTACCCATTAGAAATGCCGGTTATCACCGTTCCCGATAAGCTTTTTCACAGAACTACTATAGGACGTAACCATAGGTCCATCTGATTTTAAGAGAGCTGACCAACATACCCAATTGCTCGACTTGGAGTACACAGACGCTGACAAAATGCAGTCTCCTAAATTCTTTGAGCATGCTTGGAAAGCGCTTCACACTAGTCAAATGTAAGACGATGCTTGGGGTGTGATAGCAGTATGATGTTTCCCTTGGATGGCCAAGAGTGACACGCTAACGCTACTTAATAAGAAATGGGTGGCTGGAAAAGATTGGCCCCGAAAATGGCAAACTCCTCTCTGCTTCAAAGTATCCCGTTGCCGACGGTGTGGGTTTTTGCTGCCCGAGATTACGCAACCAAAAGTAAAAACAACAGCTTGCAAATAGCTGTCTCTGACAAGCCTCAAATAGATACCCAAAGGGCTCTGAGGTCAAACAAATAAATCCCTCTTACAAATAACTTAAGAATACGGTGCGAACAATCGGGTAGCGCCAAACAAACTCAGGCTTCCATTACTACACAAGAGACAAACAATACACACCCATTCTCTTCAACTCACAACCTCATCAATCGACTTGCCTGTCTTGCCTAGTACCGTTCACCTGACCTCAACATTGCTCACACAGTGATTCCACCAAACGTGAACAATGCTACGAAGAAATATGTGACCAAAACTCTGTGATCGCTTCATATCTTCTTCTTTTAACGGGCATGTCTCACAGCTGTATAACAGGACAGAACGGACTGTAGTGTAGTATACTCGTCCGCTGATGGATAGTTAAATATCTCGCCAGTCGGAGTCAAGAAACACAACAATTGTAGGCCTGCAATACTTTTGGCCAAATTCAAGCATCCGGTGGAGGGTTAGTACATGATCAATGCATCCTCGACCTGAGCGAAACACAGCCTGTTCCTCGAGAATCCTTTGCTCATGAGTTTAGCAATGTCTGGGAAGAATGATAGTAGCCAATACTTTAGACACAACTGGCAACAGACTAGTACCTCAGTGACCATCACATGCATTACATATACTTTTTTTAAAGATGGGCACAATGATGGCACTATTCCAGAGTCATGGAACATTTTCAACCCCCCATACCTTCTCAGACAATCATTTCTCTGACTTAAGTCGTTTCTCCATCCTCAAAAAGAGCCCGGGGTTAGTTGTCGGGGCCTGGTGCCCCGTGGCGTCTCGGGACTTGGAGTTCCTCATGGACCTCCGTTTTGTTAGGTGGGTCAGTGTTTACTAACTGTGGAGCACGATACAGAACAGATTCCAACTATTGCCAGATGCAGCTGCTGCTTCCATCTCACTCCCGCATTCTGACCACCAAGCCTCATGGTCTTTGCGTAAGTGTTGTGTAGTCGTTCGCGTAAGAGACTTACGTGGCGTCTTACAAGTAAAGCCAATGCTCGTCTAGGCTCTCTGAAGGATCGGTAGCTAGCCCTAAGTCTATCTCGGACTGGTATTTAGCTGCAACGTTGGGTGCAACTAGTTTGCTTGTATCGAACTGTTTAGGACGACGATTGGATGACAGCCAAAACGCAAGAAGAGCTTAGCATACACTAAGGCATGATCAGGGTTTCAAACAACTAATACATATAGAGCGGCAGTACTGTATGCACCTACACCTTCGGTAGCTGATGTAATATGATCTATTTGAGTTCAAGCTTCAGTTGCAGAGGGGGGAAGCCAAGTAGCACGACAGCAGTGCCAGAAGTTGGTACTAACCAGAAATAGATTAGGATCTGCCCGAAGCTGCAAAAGATAATCCCCACTACCCGACCTGCGACCAAAAAGTTCTCACTGACGACCTAAACAGCACACAAATAACTGTTGATGGAGATCCATTAGAATAGTGTAGCTTCATCTTGAGCGCTTAGTGAGACACCAACACCAGAGGAAACGGCTTCTGATGCGACAGGGCCCCAGGATAAGTGCATATGAAACCTACTTTTCGAGATGACAGATAGGGAACTAATTCTAATCACTTCACTGCGATCCTGTATGGGGTTCTCTGAGATGCAACACTGACATTGATTCTCAACTATATCACTTAGTGTTTAAGCGCTGGTTTCTCTTGTCTTGTTCAACTTAACCGGCTTGTCTGCATCCTCCAACATAGCTCACATCAACAATCAAGGACCTCATGTCCTCCTGCCATGTTATAGTCTAACAAACCCGAGGCTTTTTTCAGCCTGAATCTACTTCGGCCAACATTATATGACGAGGCAGACGGTGGCTAGGCATGCGTAATACATGTCCCATCCATCTCAGTCGATGAAAGTTCGCAACCACATCAAGTGTCTTACCTCTCGTCCCTCAAAAATCTACATCCGACTTCTGAGTTACTCACGTGGTGAAACCACAACACATGGTCTGTGCTACGAAGGCAACAGTGGTCAAACACCTGTACCCTTCTCATGTCTTCTATCTCTAATAGCCATGTTTCACAAATATACAGTAGAACAGAGCGAACTGTACCACAGATGGCATAAGGTCGCAAAAGTTAACCAAGCCTTTTGTATCTGTGCAGAGATTTCGTCGGCCACCGAGCCACCATGGTTGATCCGACTTTCCAGATAAGTCAAGTGGACAACGCGTTCAACCACTTCACTCTCTACTGTTAGCTAGGTCATCACTGAAGACCTGTCCTGGAGCAACAATTTTCTTTTAGATGACGAGAAATACATCCCAAACATTCTCAAATTGCCACTCAATATGTCCAGAAAACTTTGTATCTTTCCAGGGTTTTTATCTGACAGAACTTTATCATCTGAGTACTCTAGATCTACCAAAGAGTCTCCTGTAATAGTACCGATGCCTACGAAGTCGGACGACAAGAGGGAGACCACCATAAGTTCAGTTATGATAAAATTGAATAGGAATGTAGAGGGTTGATATTCTTAGTAGGCATCAATAGATGAAGGTAGCAGACCTGAGAAATCATCATAGGATCTAACACGCTGACGCATGTTCAAGTACATGAAACTGGTTAGTCTCCAGTGACCGATCAATGTATCTAACCCATACAGGAGGCCAGTCGCGGCCAGAATAGATCGGTGGTAAAGTTTTTGACTACAACACTTGGTTCGAATCTAAAACGGGACATCGGTCACCTCGAGGCTCCAGATACGCCTTGTTGACAAGTGGCAACAAGTACGAAATCTAGATCTAAGGCTTCCTGCCAATTACCTTTAACCAACTAACACCAATCAAAGTGCACCACAAACGTGAGCCTCCTAGCTTGGTGGCCATTGCAAAACGGCTGTTAAAACTGGGTCAGTACCCAGGACTAGACAGAGCAGGAAACAGAGTGATGTACTTACTCAGCACCCTTTTCAGTGAGAGACACTATTAGAAGACCTATCGATAGCGGAATCGAATGCGGACTTCAGGTGAGGTGCACAGCTAGTGTCGTGTGTGTCCCAGAACCTGGTGGAATATGAATATCTGGTTGATACACCCACGGTCAGATCTGAAGCCTGTTTGTTTTTTTTGTGTTTGCAGTCCCCGAGCTCCCCTCAGATGTCGAATGATTATAGAATCTAAAATCTTAGGCACTGTGTCCGTCAGGCTGATTCCACACTGACACGAAGATTTCTCGCCCTTCTTTGGAGACAGGCTGACCTAGAGCTTGCTCTACCTCTGAAACTGTTTGTTAGGGGTCTTATCCCTATGTTTTATTCAGTATTCGGCTGGATAGTGGCGAATGAAATAGCAGCTGGAGGCTAGTTGAATCGCAGACCCACCCTTCTTCGCTATAGTCTTATTAACCTTTTCGTTCCAGTTCCCTTAATAAGTCGCAATAACTGTCTAGTGTTACCTATCGCCCCTACCTTTTCCAACTCTTTAGCTTTCGCTATTCACCACAGTTTATGGTCATTGCGGAAACTTTTTGTCAGTTCACGTTTAAGTTTTTTGCGCTCATCACTGTACTCAGAGCATACAGGAATGAGTTCACGTGTATCCATTAGTTCAGAAGCTGTTGAGATCCGCCAGCTCTTTTTAACCCCTCTTTGAGACAGTCGGTTACGGCCTTTGACAGAGTTTTTGTAGCAGACTTAAGGTGATAACCAAGCTTCTTCTGGATGGATGGCGTTGTTCGGTTCCAATAACTGTCAAGCCAGCTTCTCACTGAAATTAGCCTTAGGGCTATCATTGCTGAGCTGCGCTCCCAATGCTTTTGACCATTTAGACCTAGAAATACATGCGCTCGAACCGACACGTGGTAGCTATCTAAACAGGTGCTCTAAGGGGGACAGATAGTCTTCCACCGACCTTCTCTAGTGATAACTGATAGCAATAAGGTTTACCTGTATCCACCGCTGAGTTGAGATCAATGAAAGTTTCGTCAGACGACATTTCCTCATATTTCTAAAATTTGTGCTGCGCAGAAATAGATGGTTGTCTGAGCATAAACGCAGCAAGAGATTAAGAAAGTGTCATCTAAGTGATTTCCCGTCTGACAACCTGCCCATCTGTGCACTGAAATTACCTGCAACAGCAACCACGTATTAACGTTTTACTTTCAGTTTAAGACTAGACAACAGACCATGAATGCCGTTCTGTGAACTCGTTGTTCAGAGCTGTAGATTTCGAACAAATTAAAGATGATGTAGGTTTATTGACTGAGAAACGTGAAGGAAGATTAGAAGTTAAGGATGTGGAAAGCGATCAGAGGGGACATAAGTGCCAACAGAGTTGTGAGGGTGGTTTACACATCCAACCTGTCAGCACCGTGGAAGGCTTCTGGTTCATGAAGTACCCAAAAAAAAGGGGTTGGTGTGTGACCAAATAGTCCAAGAGGCATCTGCCTGAAGCCGATTGTGGACCCGGGTCGACAGCACCGGCATATCGTGACGTAGTGGGTGTGCTATTTTTAGGATAGACATACAACCACTTCCAGTTTAAGGATAGGGAGTGAAGTCGTATAATGCGTTGATGACTACTCTACTTTCTTGAGGAGTTGCATCAGCACGAACTGGCTGGTTGTTGAAGAAACCTCAGCTCAGATACAGGCCCACTTGAAATTCGCTAACTGGCGCTGACTAACAAGATTTTCCATGACATATCAGAGGAGAATACTATAGTGAAGCCCGCTCTATCTTATTATTTGGCTGTGAAAAGCAGCCGCTGAGAATAAACACTAAGAAATCATGAATGCTTGGCCATAGAAGTCATCGTTACACTGCTTGCTTATGTCAACCTATGAGAAATGCCAAGTTAAGCGAAGGATACTAGGCAAGGAAGATAAATCAATCGATGAAGTAGTGAACCTTTAACGACTGCGGTAGCTTGGACACGTGTTGCGCATATTCAGCCACCGCTTACCTACCTCGGTGTGCAATATCAGTCGTAGTAGGATTAAGATGAAAGGAGGTTAAGCGTGACCAGACCCTGTAGTAGAACCAGTCCGTGAGATCTCTGACTTGGCCTGAGCAATGTTGGAATCATCGAGATAATACAAATCAGTGATTGGAGACTCCTGATGATGAATACAAAGGCTAGCTTCAGTTTTGCTAACTTACACGATTTTCAATGTGCGCTTTTGTGTCTTAATATCACTATTTTTTCCCATTCACCTGTCCTTTCCCCCCCCCTAATGTGAAGTGTGGCAACTTGGACTGAAGCATCTCTACATTAAGTTTTACGTTTACTTATCTGCCCATTCGTCTGGCCAAACACTGTGAAAAATTCAGTTTCACACAGGCTCAGACATAGTAAAATCGCTGCCGTCAGCACAGAGTAGTACAAGTATGAATATTTAAGAATGCATGAGTTTCCTCCGGTAGCGTATACGGCATACTGATGAGAGCTAACAAGCAACAACATGAATTCCTGTTGGTCTACTGGTAACATCTAGCATCAGGTGTAACCAACTCGCATAATACACTTTTACCGCATCCATCTACTAGTGATATAAAAAAAATAATTTTATACTGAACTAAACTATTCAAAAACATTAACATCAAACGTTTGCGATCGGAGTAAAATTATAGATCACAAACCTTGGTTGCAACAGAATCAACACCTTTTGACAACGAATCCAAAATATTACTATCTTTGACCTTTTTTCAAAGAAAAACATGAACAAGACAAACAATCGACAATATAGGTCATTTGACAACACATAGATACAAACAACAAAATTCCTGGAAACAAATACTATCAACAAATTGAATCCCCTTAATGGTTACATACAATTTGGTGAAGCAAGAATATTCTCTTCAGTAACTTGCTCCTCACGATTGATAATTATATACCCATAAGAAAGGGGGTAAATGTTTATTAAAAGTGTGATTTCTTTAATAGTCAGCCGTTTGTATCAAATAAAAATCCTCTGACATAATTAGTTCCGACTATCTAGCGTTACATGGGAAGCACATTTACCATCTGCATAATTATTTTCAACCGATAGTAATATATGACTCCGATGTCCTCAGTCGTATAAGTCTTTTACGAGGAGAATTGTCATTCTATTTCATATTAACTCTTAATGTTGCCAAAATAAATCTATTATTTGACCAGAAAGTATGGAAATACAGCTACAGAACAAGAAGAGGAAGTTATCTCACAAAAAATTCTCTGTTAAACAAACTGTAGTTTGGAGTATGATAGCAACTTTCCAATTCCCGGTATTTTCGATGACTCTAAGACCAAATTAAAAAGCAAGCAGAAGTCATTATCACTATTTGTTATTGGAGCACGTTAAGAAATGTCCAGAACAAGTAAGTCATATACTGAAAACCAAGTTAAAAAAGTTAGCCTGGATATAATAACAGCACTTGGGTATTACAGTAGAGCACAATTACAATATTGTGTACGTGTATTTGACTTGATTTGTAGATGTATTCCCCCTGTAAAACAGTATTATCTACTGGATCAAGTCTGGGACACAATTTGTTGTCAATATTCATACCAAGATAACTACACAACTTTAAGGCATGGTTTGTATGATTCTAATTATTTCCCTTTCTTTGTGTAGATTGTAGGATTTCGCATGTATCTGCAGTGTGTGCTGAATCATTCCTGTTACACGTATTTGCTGTTGATTCGATCAACAAAGATTCTGCTGTCAGTTTCTCCCTCCACCCCATCAACTTAGTTTTGCGGGCTGTCACTCTGCCCACTCATTCGTGCAGCTGCCTGTAACCGCATCTATAGGTATAGCCAAGCACTTTTCTTAGTTTCTTATTTAACTGGCATTTACCGATCTTGATTTATCGAGGTTTTTGTGCTCGAACAATCCTAATCGAGCTTGATCGACTACTTCGACCCATATGTTTAACCTTGCAATTATATGGTGTTGGTAATTTCACCACTAATTTTATCACCTCTGGATACTTCTCATTGCTTCCATTAGTAGATGGAATACTAAAATATGTAGAAAATCCTACTACCTATATCATAAAAAAGGAGAGGGAATTAGAACTATATAAACCATGTCCCAAAGTCGTGGAGTTATTTTGATATGACTGTGGACAATAAAGTTTTTCTGAAAGGTAACACAGTAAACAATACTGTTTCACTACGTGGTACACTTAATAGATCAAACAAAATTGAACTGAATTCCCGTTTTTTATATTAAATAAACTTGATGGATATAGCAGAGTGAAACAGTGTTACTTGCTGGCTAACGAACTGATGGTGACACGAATGTTCGCAGTATCTGCATAACCATACCATCAAATCTTGCATGTTTCTTTGCACTATAAACAATAAACTTATTCAATATGAAGTTAGCGCGACCTAAAGACAATATTCGTCAATCCAACCAACTTCAGAAGCATGTGGTTGATTCAGTGTGCTGAGATGCTCTTCATATCTTAGTGAATCAAACTGAGAATGAACATAATGAGTTTATTTAAGCAGTAATTAACCATCAAGCACCTAGTGATTAATGATGATATCCGTACGCCACACACCGCCATCTGCATTTCTCGTGAATGATTCGTTGCATTGTTCTGGCAACCTGTGATACGACTAATCATTCTCTCTAATTGTGCAATGAATGATAGCATAACTAACTAGTGAGTTCATGAGGAGAAAACCTAGTTTTCTGCCCCAAATTAGGAAGTTGCACAAATGGTTAACTAAAGAAAATCTAGTCAGCTGGTCTTAGTACATGTGAATAACTGAGTATACAATGTACGTTCCATATCACCTATGACTCACCAACTCGATGCATTTACGCCTAAGTAGCCTAGTAGTGGATACTGAGTTCGAGTTCTAGGGGAAATATTTGCGTGACATATCCCCAATTGAAAAATAAGATATACTCAGGATCATACTGCTAACCACTGACCAAGATAACATCAAAGGTTATTAAAAGTTTAGTCAGCATGGAGACCTTGGTTTAAAGAGCCAAAATATCAACACGGACTGATTAATCCAGTCCTACAAAGTGACAAAAAATCTAAGATTTACTGACCACTAACAGTAAACGGTGATCAGTCGTTCAAAGATGACTAACTCTGCACCCCTTGGGATGACTAGTTGGTTGTTAGTTGGTTATATAGTAACATTTAAAACAACGTTAATTTAACAATCATGTACTTTGCTTACATAATTCAATCGTTTAAAAATATCAAATGAAATCATTTCATTATGTTGATTGGTTACAAAAACTTTTGAAGGGAAAACGATAACATAACACTTACAACTACACAAAACCGACAACAAACAACAACAATAAAGACCCACATTCAATAACAAATAAAGCGATTAAAATATGACTGTATGCCTGTGTACATCAAGATGAGATAATTTACTCATCAGTTAATATTTCGTGGCATTAAACCTATGTTCCACCCTAGTTAACTAACCTTTTCGTGAACAGAGTGGGTTAGTTCTTTCGTTTTTTGTGTAGCTTGAGATGCTAATTGACTGGTGCGCCTAGCGGCTGCTGAAGCCACCTGACTGACCATAGCCCAACCCTGTACATAATTAAAAGACAAATGAGAACAGTAAATGAAAACGAAAGAACAACTCGTTACATGCTTCACGAAACCACCATTATTCTCATCTAGTGACAACTGTGGGATGAAAGAAAAGACAAAACTGATACACTTGATCAATGTTTTATCCTATATACATAGAAAGGGATTAAAGTAGAAAATAAAGAACACAAGTCGGACACACGGGAAAAACAAATCATCCCGAAACCAGGTATAGAAGTCCAGTAGCTCAAGTCCTTACACTTCACATCAACATGCGGAGAATAATTGGAAAGAGAGTGATATTGAGATACACAAAAGTGTGCCGACATCAAGTGATCTATCCGTGCAGGGATTTTGATGGTCACTGATCCACCAGGACTAACTTGACTCTTTAAGTACAGAAAGTGATCAACACACTAAAATATTTCACTCACCACTGTTAAACGAGCCACCTAATCAGGCCAATCCAGGAGCAGGAATTTAATTTGAGTGGTGAGAAACACATACCAAGCATTCTAAGATTGCTACTCAATGTGTCAGGTAGACTTTGCATCTTGTCAGGATCTTCACCTAACAGGAATATGTTATAAAGGTACTCCTTGCCTACTAAGAATTCTAGTGCGACAAGATGAATCTCTTTGTTAAGTCAGACGATGGGAGATCAATACTGAACAGCGGAGAGCGGACAACGCTGAGTCACCACCCGACAATCGCAAAGCATCTGATAAGCTACCATATGCTCTCACATGACAATAGATTTCTGGATACATAGCCTTCAACAGGACGATATACATTTCCGCTACTCCTTTCAGTGCAACCACACCTCTCAGTCGATGGAGTTGAACACTATCACTATCAGGTCGAGAACTGAAGCTGGTGTTGTTAGACGCTGGTAAATATGCTCGTGTTCCAAAACTTGACGAAGAGTGACTGTCTATTCGATATACCGACGACCACGTCTGTGATTTGCCTGATTTCTTTGGATTCACTCTCCCTGAACTTCAGGTAGGTTTCGAATAATTGTAGAATGTAGGATCTTAAACACACTGTGTTCATCAAACTGATTCCCCTGTTGTTGTTATCACAAGAGGATTTTTGTGGCTTTTGAAGACTGGGACAACCAGTGATTGGGAGCAGTCAGATGAGATGTTATCTGTTTCTCACACTCTGGCTAACACTACAGTTATTCTATCCAATTATTCCTAAACACCATTCTAGCTGATTTTCGTTTCAGACTATTTATAGCCTTTCCAACTTACGATTCGGAGACTCATCTGTATCCCATCTTAAGAAATTGAAATGCACTCAGCAACCACATGCACATCTGTGCAGTAGGTAATCAGCCACACCTGTTGTGTTAGGGCTAACGATACTTACCACCTGGCTGCCCAGACTTCGATTGACGGAGCGGTATTCGAACCCGTGACCTATTGGTTGAAAGTCAACTCCCTGAACCAATGAGCCACAGTCTTACTTACGACCAGACTGAATAACAGGCAACCAGAGACTAGTTACGGGCAAGTTGATTTGTTACTTGAAATGTCCCGACAACTATCTAACCAATTAATCATTAATTATAAATGTAAAACTTGGCTGATGTGGTAGAATCTACTTCCATATTAGATACTTTTGAGTTACGATTTTTTTTGTGTTATAACATTTTAAAAATTTAATATGAAACAACCAGTTATTCGTTGAGAGCTGCCTCAGTATTTTCATCGTCGTAATGTGCTCGGAATGGTCACGCAATAGTAGTTTTTTCTGCATATCTATTTAGGTGTAGACATAAAATTTGGTATTATTGAAACTACTTAGCTTTGAAGTAGCTTGGATTTGCTTTTACATGTAGGCCTTGATATTCATTCTTTCTTAGTATGACTCTGAATCCGTTTGTAGAACCTTGGTTCTATCAAAATCAATATTGATTTTGACAGAATATAAAATTATGTCCCATTTGTATCAAGGGTAATGCAAACGAAGATTTGCTTACTAGCTTCTCCATGTCTGCTACGGCTTTAGTGATTTGCATTAGGCATAGTCTTTGTATTCTCAACCATGCATAGGTAATGAGATAAACCAACTGTGTGAAGAAAGACGATACTACTCCGCTGCCTAAACTTTAGTAGTTGGAGTGACGTTCAAACCTGTTGGATGAGTTGGATGAAAATCAACTGGTTAAACTAATGAACCACGGTTCCATTTGTACACATATATCTGTCTGGAGACCTTCACCACATATAGTGCACTAGATTTAGTTCATTTTACCTCAAAATAAGCTGAAAATTATACATATATATCTACTATCTAGTATTAACCTTTTACTGGTCACCCAATTACTGCAAAACTATTTGATCAAGTCTTGCTCAAAGTTCAAATATATATATGTTATATGTATAACATGTGAATTAAACATGGTTCATGTATGCTGAGATAACCATGTAGTAAACTACGAACTAAATTATAACATATTCCATGCCACGTCCAGTGACGCCTTTGCCCGTCCAACTATAACTCAATTCCTCTTATAATACGATTCCAAGGTGGTTAATACTGCGTCAGTAGTCGATACATGCTGAAAACAAATCCAGTCTGTGATTATTCGATCATTTGAATGGTTTGAAAACTTACTGATTGCCATGTGGATGAATCAGGTACTAATGAATAGTGCCTAGAGGAAGAATTCTCATATTCCACGTTATTAACAGAACTAGAGCTAAAAATTAAATACATAGAAAACAGAAGGGAAATATACCATATTTTCAACTAACATCAAATTTAGTCGAATTCAACAACTAAAATACTCAGTAGTTTGAAAAACACAGTATCTAGCCAATTTTCATACGACGAGTGCATATAGCACAACAAAGTGTAAAATCAACTGATTGCATACTGTGAACTATGACCTCTACGGCATAACTACGATCGATAATCTCAAAGAACGATGCATGGAACTACATTAAAAGAAACAAACCCAGTGAAGTATCGTATCAACTCGCAAGAATACATATTCGCGTGACCAAAAAGGTTAGTTTAGGGATTCTAACAAAGAACACTTCTACATTATTCCCTATAATAAAGCATTTTGTCTAATACAACCTAATAGCACGTCTTTTAGTAATAGGATACATATTCAAAACAGTATCACTAGTGTATTTATGATCGAACAGTGACACTATTGATACACCACCCGATTTAAATAACACTGGACCAAGCTGAATTTAAGTGCTTATGCAATGGAGTGACTAAACACTAAAGGTCACAAACATAAACGAAATTCAGCCAGCTAATGAACTATACGGATTGCGTGAAGGTTAATTGTACCAACCAGCTCTTCGAATACGGGCAGTTAGGATCGAGATCAACCATGTGACTAAATGGTCAGAAGGCGGTTGCCTAATCCGACGAGTAAGAGACAAATCAACATAGAATCCCACATAGAATTGTGTCAGAGTCGACAAAGTTGTATGGGAGGGAAAGGAATTTCTAAATGAAGTTTAGCGTGAATATTTGAGCTTTAAAAGACGTCAAAAAGTGAGTCCATCTGTGCCGTTGTGACAGATTTTCAGCAATATCACCAAGGATAACCAACCAATGATTCTTATTATTTCGAGGAAGCCCTAACCAAGAAGTCCACACCTACCTACATGGATCAGACCAAGAGTCAGAGACTTGATAGACTTCATGTCTTAGTCTGGTCATCCCCAGCTCGTTTCCAACCTAATCTAACTTTTTCCAGCATTCTATGTCGAGGTAGGTGGTGGCTGGGCTTGCGCAACACATGTCCAGGAACCTAATGAGCAATCGAAAGAAAATGAGTTCATTTTCTTCAACTGGAAACAATCTAAATAACATGAAGAATCTGCATGTGGCGTTCTGACTTGAGTAAATTAGACATCTCACCATCACCAGATAATGATGGTTAAATAAATGTGCACACAATAGATCAACCTTTCATTGTTCAGTAAGCATTACAATGAAATGTGCATAACACAATTATACCTAAAGCAAATCAGCTACAGGCCAGGTAAGATCTCTAAACGTGAAAATAACACTAGCAACCCCGTAACTTGAAGTAAGCGTTTTGCAATGCTCAACAGAAAGGTATCTGGAGTATAAAATACCAGAGTGAACACAAAAGCAACTAGTCTGGGCACTTTCATCGGATAACTATCCAATTTCTTTGCCAATAAATATGGCAAGTAGAAAGCATTGACCAGTCAATGGTTCACTACAAAGTTACAAAATAACTACTATTATTTCGAAAAGATGCATCAGAATGAATTGATGAAACTAATGACGTTAAGATTGTACTTACTTAGCCCAATCTGGAATTTGCTCGAAACCGGTAGTAGATGATCTACGTCCTTCAGATAAACTCGTGTCTCTTAACCAGGATTCCAAATCTGAGTGACAGCTGGGCATTTTGTTGCGTCCAGAATTAAAACCTGAAGTCTCACATTCACTACGCATATTGCTAGAGCTTGATTTATCGAAAGATAAAGATGACAGATCATTTGCAGTTTTCACATGGTTTAAATTGGTACATGTGTTAGGTACATTAGATGTCTCTTCACTCCATACTCCACCAGATGCTTCAGTAGCAATCTGAAAAGCAAAATGAAAAATTAATTTAGTAACCATGTGCATCATGTTCCACACTGAGGCATACATCTGTACTTAGTCGTATTGAGGTGGGGACCCTAAATTTTTCAGTTGAGTACTTTAACCTGAAAAGCAAACATGAGTCAGTACTAGAGGTGATAAAGGGTTATTGGGTAGAATAACTGTAGTGTTAGCCAGAGTGTGAGAAACAGATAACATCTCATCTGACTGCTCCCAATCACTGGTTGTCCCAGTCTTCAAAAGCCACAAAAATCCTCTTGTGATAACAACAACAGGGGAATCAGTTTGATGAACACAGTGTGTTTAAGATCCTACATTCTACAATTATTCGAAACCTACCTGAAGTTCAGGGAGAGTGAATCCAAAGAAATCAGGCAAATCACAGACGTGGTCGTCGGTATATCGAGTAGACAGGAGTAGCGGAAATGTATATCACCCTTTTGGTTGTGTAGCTAAATATATATAGGCATGGTACAGCCTATAGTGACTTTTCAGCTGAAATGCATATGCCGAGTGGTAACCCTCAGGGATGTCCACTCTCTCCAATTAAACCCAATCTTGTCATGGACACGCTAACAGAGGTTGCCCTCTCGTCACATGACCCTACGCGCATTTGATATTGATAGAAGTATATGCACACATTTATGCAATAAACTCTAAGCTCTAAATTGTGTATAGGGATGGGTTGAAAAACGAAGATCATCGTACATGAAATGAAGGTTAACTAATAAGAGGTAAGTGACCTAGCCAGACATACAAGTCACCGACTGATGATGTAAATGTATCACTATCTTAGTTTTATTATTTTAAAGAACTTAAAACGTCATAGTCAAAAAACACCTGCTAGGCAGCTTAACAAACGTGTTGCTGAGCGCCTACAGTTCTGGCTAGAAAAGGGAAAAGTTAATACCAAGTTCAATTCTGTAGCATTTGGTCGATAGTAGTTATGTGATAGATAAAACTAGAGCGTTCAAAATCATTTATCGCATTCCACAAAATCTTTTGAATGCGATTCACACTTGTATATTACATACAGCTGAGGATATGGGAACTCGAGAAAACAAACTTGGTCTTTGTGTGCAGGGAAAATGTGTGGAACACTTAACTCTGCTTTGGCCAGGGAAAAATTAATGAATGACTTCAAAGATAAACTCAGTTTTTCGTCCCCTACAATTTTTTCATCCCCTTTCACGTACACGTCTTATTTGATAAGTCTTTGATTATTTACATACTTCATTCCTTAGTATCATACAACTTTTGTTTTCGAAGTTTGGATTGACGTTGGCTGTTAAAATGCCTGCAGTACCATGCTGTTTCCACTATTCCCATCATCAATGAGATAATTACAATTACCACTATTTTTATAATTCATTTCTTTGTTACCACAGTTTAAAGAATTAAAGAATTCGCAATGATTGGTTTGATGCTTCATATATGAGGAAATTTATGTATATTAGAGTAAAACCTGGTGGAAGCATATTGAAAACATTATTGTCCGCTTATATGTCTTCTTCAAATACATATTACACTAACCTTATCTCTTAACAAAGCAGCAGCTCTGCTGTTGTATTTTTCATGCAGAGTCCACTGAGGTCTATAATCCGGTTGTGAAGCGAAGAATTTCTTAGCATGATTATTGCCTCCAACTTTCATTCTCTCCAACTCCAACTCCTTCCATTTATCCATGTTAATTGAGCGCACAAAGCTAACAACAATTATAATAAAAACAAGTTTGATAAATATTCTTTAGTGTATAAACTAGAGTAAGTTTTTAGAAAGTATTCAACAGGTAATGGCTGCAGCAGACAAACTTTTTCCCTCAAGAAAACACTGCATTGAAAAGATGAACTAATGAGTACAAAAGTCCTTTTGAATACCACCTGTTGTGAACCCTTTTATTAAATCCTTCATAGAATGTGTTGCTAGCCTAACAGAAAGTTTTGACAAAAAATAAATTCATCATTTCCCTTAGGGACTGATTTTAACAAACTTCAGTGTGGCAGTGGTGTTATTCGAGTGGAGAATACCATAGCATTATTCATAAATTATGCGAGCAACGCAATGTTTACACCTCATGCAGTTAATATAACCTAGCCCCGAAACACCTTGATGCGACAAGAAATGCCAATAAACACGATTTTAGGGATGAACAATAGTTTTGTGAGACCGAATACAAATTTCCTAGTGAAGAATAAGTTAAACTGATTGTTGAAAGAAACTCATTTTTGGTAGCTCCGAGTACAAACTTTCATAATATTAGTGTTTTTCAATAGTCAAAATGAACGCGCAGTCAGCTCACGGAAAATAAAATAGCTAAACATGACCACTAAAAAAAATCACACAAAACGTATAAACATTATGGGATATAAAAAAGATGGAAGAGAGAGAGAGAGACAAAGAATAAGAGAAGTCATTTCAAATACATTCAAGAAACCTCCAGTACTTATTCACCAATGTTCAAAATTAGAGGACATCAAACAGCTACAATATGAAAGCAACTTGTTTCAACTCTGGACAATGTTTAATTATATATTTAGTCACTTAATTACGTGATCCTAAGATCAATTACTCAAGAAGCTATGATGCGGCAACAGGCTAGTCCGATATAGCTACCACTCATCCATAATTAATGGAGTAGCTATTACATTTTTTAAAAAACCTGTTATTATGAGTGACAGAAGATATCAGAATACAGGATATAAGATTTAGCAGTGAAAAAGCCATATGAAATTTATGTTTATTACGAACTAGAAGAGAGTTAATAGAGAAACCAACTGACAAACTGAGCCAATAGAACACTTGACGACTATAGCATTTGGAAATTTTACATGAACCTGTCGTAAAATGTTTACACCCCCCTCAGACAGTTAAGTGCTTAGATACAGAACCTTTAGAGTCAACTAACCATAATTGAGGATTTGCAATTCACCGACATCCTTTGTATTTACAAACTAGGCAAAATGTAAAACCTTATCCATGATTTAGACTACATCTATGAACGCTGAAATAAGTGTACACTACAAAATGAAATTTATATCCATAAATGACAAAATAACTGACCGAAAAGAAACATGAGAGTCAGACGTCAATACGCAAAGTAGACACGGTCACTAGCTATCACTAAAATTTCCAGAAAAACACACATAGTAGGATACTAAGTTACTGGGGGTGGGTTAGTCAACACTAATTATGAAATCAAAAATGCTCATGAAGTTAATGATATTTTGAACGGAGTCAGCTGTAAATATTATTAGGCAGAATCAAATAGGAAAATTAATTTATTTCGATGACCACGGCAAGGAGGCTTGTGCAAACTTTTGGATATAAGATTTAGTTTACAAAGATGGTTGCGACCATGTGAATTAGTGACCCAGCTAGGAATACACGATGATATATTTGACTTGTGCATACATTGTTGGAGTCAGGTGCAAGTTAGCAGCAATCCTGTCGATCTACATTTAAGATGGTCCAGACAGCACTACAATTAGAACCTACTGGGACGAGTGCCCTTAAATTCACATATTCAAGAGATGCTTTGAGACGCACTGTCATTCGTCGACTTTCTGAGGATGCTTTTATCACCGTCACTACGGTGAAGTAGAAATGGTGCTAAGCTTTCTCTTGATGAGTTGTGAATGTATCACAAAGTGAACAATATTACTTAGCATTTACTCGTTACCTACTCATCAGATAGACGCTTACCTGAATTCGTTTGAGCCTGAGTTAAAAAAGACCTGCTTTGCTCTACACTAGTTCATGAAGGATGAGTAAAACGTCCGATGTAACTTCTACGATTTGGACAGAAGTAATCACACAATAAACAACAAACCAACCACATGGTGACTTGCGCCTTAGGCAATGAGCCATCAATTTCGTCAGAGACAATGATACTGGCTAGTTAGCCTTCGGTAGGTAGAGTGATACTAGTTAACTGTCCATATCAATGAGCCGAAGTCCCAAAATTCATTCATATGGAATTAACTAGGGCGCTATTCAAACCTACATCTGCTCAAAAAGAGTCGACATTCCAAACAACACTTAAAATTCAGTAGATAACTTGGTAAACACTAAATAATTATTTGTCAAAACACTTAATAGAAATTATAAATTCTGGGAAACCATCTGTACCAAATAAGTGAAAATTTTATCACAAAAATATCTCACCTTAGATGAACACCCAAACCACGATGCTTTCCTGAACACTCCAAACATATCCATATGCCATATGTAACGCTAGCCCATTGAGGATTAGGGGACCCACATTCGAAGCATAACTACATATGAAAACAAGTGACTGTATTAGTGTAGTTACAACATACATTTTCAAACTGTAACTGTAAAAGAAATGGTTGAATGAGGTCTAGACAGTATAAGGTTACTCAACTTTAAGTCAGGTGCAGTTTTCGGTAGAAGAGGGAAGTCAGTTGGTTTGTAATCTTATTCGACTAGTCATCGTTTGCCTCGCTGTAAAATGACAGTTGAGTTAGAATTAGACAAGTAAAAGGTCGAAGGTAGTGGTCCATGTTTTTTGACTGTTATTCTTAGTTGTGTAGGGAAATATGAACTCCAAAATCGGTGATTGAAGACGAAAGGTGATATGAGGGAGAATCAATCTCAATTACGCAGATGCACCTACACTATGTCCTGACAGTGTAAGGGGGTAAACACTGTCTAGCTGAGGTCCTCAAAACGATATGAATTAATGGTTTCAAAATGTCAGTGACAACTAGAAACGTATCATGGCGAAGTAGACGTATCTGCGTCAATGTTAGTACTACTATTTGTCAACCATTTGTACTGCGCGTGCTGCTGTAGTGTGACGAATTGAACCGATGCACTTCTATGCCATTCTACATTCATCTTTTTGAGTAACAGTGCGACCTGTAATATCTGATTGCTGAAAGTATAACACCGATTTTCGATCAAAAACAAGTCCAAAGCAAGTGACAGAATGACTGAAAGTGCTATGTTCGGATAAATAGTACAACACCCAGTAAATGAAATGCACCATTTAAAGCAGTGAGTCTTCTCTGATTTACATAGACAAGACATGCAGAATGAAAGATGGCAATCTGTTTCGGTTACGAAAGTGCCAGTTGGATTAAGATGGAAAAATACCTAAGGATGTCATAAGTCGATAAGTGTAGGTCATCTGGTTGAGGTCATCGAGATGCCAGAAATCAGTCTTTAATAACTCCTTAACATAGCTCGAAAATGATAGCAACAGCGAAGACAAATCCGCTCCATAAGACTTCTAAAATTTAAATGTATCGTAACTATTCACCTATTTATTTTGCACAGTATAGTTAGTTCTGTAAAATATCCCACTTCTTTCTATTTCCTCCCCAGTCAAAATTATCGCAAACGCGTGTTCATATATCGAATGTGGGACAAACTGACGGTGGTGCTGGGTAAATCAGAAGACCAAGTTGAGCATGGGAAAATCGACGGACAGAAAACAGAACCAAAAATTATTTAGCGCTACATTGCTAACTACTCACCATTTGTCAGTAGCTTGGTCATTTAACAAAATTATTTCCTCACTATCCACTTTAGGAGCAGTAGCCTTATGCTACTGATGATAACGATGGTTTTTGTGGTTGAATTTTGTCGGTTTCAAAATCAAGCAAGATCAGACATGAAAACGTGTATGACAGCATCCCACCAACGATCTATGAGTGTGAAATCATGGTAATTTACGCCTCAGGAACTTAGAAAGACAAGGTTTCAGAACAGGATATAAATATGTATTATATAATCCAGATAAAAATACGTACTTTCAACGTGTCACATACGTATGTGTAGACTACACACATTTAATTAATTGGATAGTAACTTGGTACACATCACAAAATTGGTTCACATAAAATGGACAGACTGGTTTAAGAGAACGCATTGCTTTTTTCTTTTTCTCACTTTATCACCACACCAATCACTATTTCTATTCACTGGCAACACTGATCAGAATACTGGTATGATGCCTCCATAATTTGCTGTCACTTCTCCAATTATGAAATGTTGTGAAGCTCTTGTAACTCTCTCACAATGGAAACCTTAATAGTACGTGGGATTACTTTGAGAGGCGAGCATGAGGTAAATCGTCGTTGAGATGTTACGCCGGAGTTCACTGATGTACCACTTACAAAACTATCCTACTCAATAACGTAACAAGATATGGGTAGTCAGTACCAAAATACTGTGACAACTTCACGTAGTAGGTATTTGTTACTCTGCTACATAAAAGTAACCCATCAATACAATATTTTGTCTTCGGCATGTGAATGAGGTATTCAGTGATGAAGACGCACTACTGACACTAAAAAGCTGACCAGTGCCAAAAGTTTATAGGTTGAGCTAGGACTTAATACGTTGGTAAAATTAAGGTGTTACATAGTGACAGTAGACTGTAACTACAGATTGCTACCGGCGTGCACTCTCAACTAAAGACTTTGACGATTCTTACTAAAATTCCGTAAACCCAAATAAATTAAGGGTTTCATACTGTTTCAATAGTGAACCCTTCATTCAAAGTTTGTAGTGTCATATAGATTCAATGACATAGAATTAAGCCTTCTGAAACAATGCAGACCAAAAAACAGTGAGGCCAGGTGCGGTGAGAAATGGGAAAAAGAAAAGTAAACACAGAATTATGTTGTGTAACTGCTCGCTTCGAAAGGAATTTGACCAAATGGCTGTTTTGCTCTGCAAATATGTTGATTGTAAATTATTGTGGTGTTGCAGTATCAAACTGAGTATATGTAGTTTTTTGAAAAATCCTACATCACACTGTGAAGATATCACGCTTCAAAGTATGGATATTTGGGTCGATCTGAACTACAGAAACTAGACAGAAGTGGATCCTCAAGGTTATGTCAAACAGTCAGTTTCTTAACAGCTCCCCGCCACCAGTTATTCGAGGAACATCATGCATACCTTTAAAAGATAATGGGTACACATAATAACTACTGGTCATTTAGCGTGACACGTTTAGGCTATTCACGGAATGATAGCCCGGACTAAAGCACAGAAAAGAACCAGGGACTTTCAAAACAAATGTAAGGACTGCTAGTCCAACTTGCCGTGACACCACAAAGTATTAGATTCCTACGCATATGAGGATAAAAGATCATTCCACACGTAGGAGGTATAGACCACCATCGCAGGCCACATATTCACAGACACTGATGACATCCTCTGTTGTGAAAAACTAAAACAACTTATCTTACATGGTTGGCACTCGACTTCTTGACATCCATCAACACTCTACGGGTCCTAGGGCTAGCCATCCTCGAAACCTTGAAACGTCGAGCCCACTCAAGGAGAGCGCGCTCTAACGTGTTTTGAAAAACAAAAGTTGTTGTCTTTATGAAAGAGGATTTCCGAACAATTACCCAAGCAGCCCTAGCTATGATTAATGCTTTTATGACTGAGTTGGATTTTGAAGGCAATGATGGGATACCAAAACAATGCATGATCAGTTGGATGCTACTTGTTTCAAACAGTTTCAAATGGTTGATGATGAAAAAAGCCCTCAATTAACTGACTTACATGTCTATAGTCATTGAATAACCAGTACATGTCTCTGACAACATAGATATAAGAGTATATGATAGGTGGAAGGAACAGAGCACACTATGTCACAAGCTCTATCAGGCTCTAATTACACATAGAGTTTCTCTAAGAGGGAATCTAGGGATATGGCCTGAACAACCTCTTCAGGGACAGCACTTCAAGCTGTAACAACTCTTAAAGAATGCAAGTTACACAGGAAGTTTTTCCCGTTATTTTCAGTTTTTAACTTCAGAGTGAGCCTGCTCAGATTGTTCTTGGAGTTTATACTGACAATAATAATAATGAATTTTTACTCTCACATTAGTAATTTAACATGAGAGAAGCCAGTTTACAGGCATAATCACTTTAATATATGTCGAAAAATCTACAAGATTTTACGGGTCCTGAATAGTACAGAGAGGAGGTGGTTTAACTCCATCAAAAACTTCAGATAGCGGTTACGGGACACAGAAAATACCACTTTTGGCATATGAAGTGCGTCAAAGTGAAGATAATAAAAATTCCCATTCCCATATAATGGATTAAACATGACAGATACCAGTTCACAAGCACCGTCAAGATGATGATTTTGAAAGTTTACAGAATGGTATCTAAAACTATATAACTCACATAGCAAGTTATTGATATGCATAAACGTATTAAAACTTGCTGCAAATCAAGAGACGGGCATGGATTTCCATCTGTTATTACACAGACTGGTTCCGCTATCAACAACAAAAGCGCGCAATGTTCGAAGTTTGCGTTATAACCAGACGATGTTGTTGGTCCATTTGCATAGTTTCCTATTTAGTACTAGGCAAATGAGCTGAAACACTGGTAATGTTGCTCGCCATTATCAAGTTACTTATCAGGCACCCTTCTTCAAATGATGTGCTGTCACGTGTTTCAGGCATTACCTGAGCCTCAGCTCACAAAAAGATTTAATGCAGCGCCCCCTGATTTGTCCCAAACTGTTCTTATCTTTTTGAGATGAAGGACCCTGTATTCCCGAGTTCCCGGTGAGGCTGCATGAAGCTGCAACAGATTTGACTTAGACATACGTGACAGAACGATCCGAAACATCGCTGATAAGTGCCAGTTATGCGTGGAAAACATCTTAGTTATATTCAACACGAGGGCACCAAGATCTCGTTCTAACAAAAGTTCTTTCACTTCTGTATCCTTGGGTTTTAATGTGACCTGCGGACGCCAGTAATGTGCCACCTCATGTATTTTATGGCTGACTGTTAGTTGCAATCTACCCAGTGTTGAGACTGGATGGAATGATCCCACATGGTGAGCCTACCGTTTCATAAGTCATTTCTCTCAGCAGTTTCACATGGTCGGCGAGATGCGGAATCTCATAAGTCACTTGCAGAGGCTCGTCGTTTGTGCAAGTTAGGCACAGGACAAGTTGTACAACAGAACTATGGGAGACGCTACTTAGGGGTGTCCGTTGGCAGCCTGCTTGAACCGTGGGCAACCAAATGTATCCACGTCGTCGTGGAGTTTATGTAACAGACTGTTTAGCAGGTCTAGCTTGCAAGCCTGACAACACCAGTTGAACGGCGGCCTGCCGGAACTTTGGGCTACCAAATTTATCCGTCGAAACTTTTTCATCAATTTTTTTCTTTCAATCTGTTTTAATCATTTCAATATGTCCTTTGAACGCATCATGTACTCCTGCATATTTTAAAACTGTTTCCAACGCTCCATATCAGGAGTCAGTAACAAAGCAGGGGGAGAGTGTTACGTTATGTGGAAATGGGCTTTCCTGTGCACAAAAGTACATCATATTTCTGTCCGTCAGGTGCTGAGCTCAATTTGCCGTTTGAATGGACCACAACCACCAAAATTACGCTTGGATTTCCGCTGATTCTCCATTATGGACCGGATACCCGTCCAGAACCAGCTGACTGCATGACATTATTGCCTTGTATATTGCTATCATTAACATCGTTCCGACGCAACAAGCGTTTCATCTGAAAGTATTGTTCTAAGAATGAATTTGTTAAAAAATTACATGCCGAGAACCCCATACTGTCCTACATATTGTTCGGAAAAAAAGATTATTATTATTAGCATTGTCATTATTATTATGGTTTTTTAGTAGATGGAAGTCACCCTCACCTTAAAAGCAAGGTCACTTAAATAAGATGATACTTAATCGATTAATGCTGGGGTGACCCCATCAACTTCAACTTACTGATGATGTAGTTGTGGTTGCTGTTGTCAAAGCCTCGGAAGAATTAAGGCACCCAGCTCTAGTCAGGCTGCCCAGTGTAGTCCATAACATTGTAAAGAATTTATTGGTTAGTCGAGATATTGCTTTCCGTCTGCTTCACTGTACAACTTTTAGATGGCGTAACAATTAAACTTTTCAGTCTGGGACCAAAAGACAACGCCGGTAATATAACTGGTGATTTACGGGTCGTCAAACCCGGCTTTGGCGGACGTAGAGAACAATCGCCAATTCCTCGAGCTGTTGAGAAGAACGCTCATTCTCTGTTCTGCAAAAACTCATTCCGTTGACGTGAAGACTGCAGCTGCATCAAAAGGTGCAACGGTTACGTCGGTGTGCACTTAACGCGCTTCGCCAGAGACCAACCAGGTAGAAATCACTAGAGCAGATCTAGGGTCAGCTACTACGTCTACAACATGGGCCGAACAACAAAAGCTTTTGAGCATGTGAGCTCCTGATCAAGATGAAGGTAAATTTACCTCTACCTCCACTGACGGCTACTAACCATGCGCGGTGCTCAAACTTGCGCGTCACATAAACCCGCCGCCGGAACGCTTGTGCCTCGGGTCTAACAATACCATAAAGATCTGTAAGATGTTGGTTGGTCAAATTTCAGTTGCCGTTAGAGTGTAAATTTTGACACTATGAAGGGACTTTAGGGGTCAAGTCTGAATGGTGACGTTTCCCTTGAATGACCGGCAGTGCCAGGTGATGCCGCCTTCCCTGTGGCAAGTTGGCCGAGAAAAAACTAGCCCTAATAAGCCGCACGCCACCCTCAATCCCATAGGATGCCAGTTTCAACCACGTAGGTTCAAAGTCGGATTCGCAAGAAGAACAATAAATCTCAAACTCCTAAGACGTCCATGTGAGACCGGTCTCAAACAGATGTTCCTTTGGTCTTTGGTTGTGCAGAGACTGTTCTTTCTCAGGTACCCTGAAGGAAACAGCAGTCCATGGTGTGACCAGCAAGGATGTGTGAATCATTGTGTCAACTCCGTCATCACTCGAGGTCCCTCAGATCGCTGTATATCTTGAGCATCCTCAACTTTCTATCCTCCCTATGTTCCCAAGTAAGTATCCCTACATCACCTTTGATCTATTCCACTCCCTCAGCTCTAAACAACAGCATCTCTGATTTCCTGAAACCGTGCTCCAGATTCCGCACTGGAGCTTTCCTTGTCCGTACCGCTTGCTGCATCTACCAAAAGCCTAGTTAAAACTGGCATTTCAGGGCATAGATGTATGTTGTGTTTCTAACATGTGCATATAGGACCTAAGCGCAGCTATTCATCGGGCCTCTTTCGGTCAAAGTGGTAATTCTACAATACCGTCCCTCGAATTTCTGGAGGTTCTGTGGCTATTTATTCTGATCTTGCAGGTGTATGCATAACATAGAGGACTAGGACAGAAAATGCACTACTCAAATGGGTTCCAGTTGACGACCGCCTGTTCGCCGTCGGACCGAACCGCACAGTGAGGACTAAAAAGTGTAGCAAAACTCGTTGTTGTCTCTTTACAACCTCCGTTTACGAACCAGGAGACTGTAGTTGGGATGAAGTGCAAAATGATTTCTGCCAAAAACTGCCCAGTCTCAAACCGAGAGTAAAACGTTAAAATATGGTTGTTGCTTCAGGCAATTTCAGTGCAGGCTCAGTCGGGGGTGGAAATGACTGAGGTGCTGCTCTCAGAATCCCAGCCTAACGAACAGATGTCGGTGGTTGACTGCTGCAACTGAGCTCAGGGAACGTGGACAGACAAAAGTCTACGCAGTGACCACAAAGAGTGGAAGGAGGTTAAAAGGAGGGAAAAGGCCAGGGACAATAGGTGGTGGCAAACAGTTATTTAACGTATTTAAGAAACCGTATGAAAAGGTCAGTCTTCAGTGAGACTTTTGTGTTCAAAGTTGGATCCGCACTTCACTCGTACGGGGTAAGACTGGGGCAATTGGTGGGAGGTGCCGAGCAACATTTCAGCCAGCCTCTGGGCGCTATCCTGTTTCCCGCTTCAGATAACATGAGAAGGGCAAGGGATGCAGTGCCAGGTGGACTAGGGCCAGGGACATTCAGGGATGGTGGTAGAGGATTACTGGTTAGATTAAATGGAGTTTAAGCAGGTTCAAAGTAGTCGTTTATGACCTAATGTGACTGGTCTTAACCGCCGATTGTCTCAGTCCTTAAGAAAAGTGGGATTCATCGTCTCCAGGATTACGGGTTGTGCAATCACTGTATTTCTGAGTGAAGCTTGCGAACAGCAAACCTGAGGAAATCAGACAGGCCCCAGACCTGGTCATGAGGGCCGTCCACTAAATACTTACCACCCGTCAGGTTCCCAAGTGCGGTAGCACCTACTGAAACCCAGCAATAGTTGTTTGTCTCTGGCCGAAAGTGTGAGTTGACTCTATTGCTGGACAGGGTTGGTGACGTTGTTTCTCACTGAAAGTAGTGCTTGGTAAGTACAAAACTATATTGCATGCTGTATACTCGAACAGCTTTGAGTTATCAGATGAACCGCGTATACCAGTAGGTAACCGCCTCCACTC